TCTTCTCCAAAAATAACTTCAGCGGTTACAAAATGCCAATTATATATAAAAATTTAAAACTCCTTCTTTAATTTTTTTCATTTTCATGTTTTTACTACGTTTCTGCTGTCTCGTTTCTTCATTTTGATAAAATCTAAAGTGCTATTTGTGAAATCTACGACTCACTTTGCATACTTTTTACTAAAGCCATAATTAGGTTTTTGTTGCTGAAGGCTTCCTTAATCATTAAAACTATAAAACTCAATCGATTTTTTCATATTTTTATATAATCCACTTTACAAATTTTTTTTTTTAATTTATGTAATTTTAATACATTTAATTTTAATTTATTTTCTTATATTAGTTTATTTTGTTTTGCTTTTTTATTTTATTTTATTTTATTTTATTTTAGTTTATTTTATTTTATTTTATTTTAGTTTATTTTTTTATTTTATTTTGTTCAATTTTTATATTTATTATTTATTTTTATTTTAGCTTAATTGGTTTTATCTTTATGGGTATTTTTTATTTTTTGTTTTTTTTTTTTGGTCGATTATGTCTGCCCCTCCGATTTCATTTCCTCGCATTTTAATTTTTCTTTGTCCTTTTTGTCGCTTTTTTCGGTGCCACATTTATTGTAGTTTTCCACCATTTTGTGCGACACTTGACATTAATTTTTCATTATAAGCTTCCTTACATTTCTTTGGCACTTTTTCCTTTTGCTGTGTGTTTTTGATACTAAGTTTTGAAGAAGAATTTAATATTTTCAAGTAATTCAATTAAAGTTGTTCGATGTAAAGTTATATTGAAATTTGACGTTTTTTAGAGCGATGTTAAAAATGAAATGCGTCACAAAACTGTTGCCAAATTTTTAGAATATTTCATACATATTAAGAGACTTTAATATGAGGTAAACGCATGCTTAAGACTTGGTCATTAAAATTCACTTTGGTGTTCAAAAATGTATTTAAAAATATTTTTGTCCACTGCACTTGAGTGCTTACCGAACGCCTACCGCTAGCATTTATAGCTAGTGCCGGCAATCAGTTTCTGTTTTTGTTCTTGTTTTTTTGTTTTCACCCACCACCAGCACCACAGAAATTGCTATTTGTGCTGATAAGACGTATAAATAAAATCAATAGCGGCAAATGAGGTAAAAAATGCAAGAAAAGTAAATAAAAAAAATGCTAACAACACACAAAAATAAGAGAAAAAATTTAAAAAAAAAAATTGGAATTGATTTGAAAAAGGCTTTACTGCATGCGGGCACCAATGCCAATCGAATAGAGCTGAGGATTGATAACGCCAGCAAAAGTGAACAAGAGGAAAATAAAATTAGTTCGAGAGCAGCGTGAAAGAAACGTTATTGTTTGTACGCTTTGCACGCTTTTTGCGTTTTGTGTATTCTTCTTTTTTATTTTATTTTTTTTTTTGATATATTGTTTTTAATGTTTTTCTTTGCTTTTTAAGATTTTTAATTTCGTTTTTATATTTTCTTTTCTTTTTTGAATTTTAAACTTTTTCTATTCAACCAAATATAACCCGCCTTTGGTGCTTGTGTTCTACTTGCGATTCATTCGATATCGTTTAGATACACACACTGCGAGGCGTGATAAGACGCTACGTCGTCTTACATTGTTGTTGTTGTTACTTTTGTTGTTACCGCTACGTCGTCTTACATTGTTGTTGTTGTTACTTTTGTTGTTGCCGTTGGTTTTGGCATTCATTCGGGTTTTACAGCGCAGACAAGAGACTACAACAGAGCCACAGGCAAAAAGGTGTGGATATTTAATGTAGAGTTGATAACCGATAATAATGGAAAATATATGTACAAAAGTAAGTAAATATATACAAAATAAACGAAAATGAATGAAGCGGCAAACGAGCAAAAGCAACTCATCGAGAAGGTAAGACTCCAGAAGAAGAAAGCTGAAACTGCCATCCTTCCTTGCCATTCTGCTCGAGTAGAAGTTAAACATTGAAAGTAAATTTGAGTGTGAGTAAATATTAAATTATTTTACTCCTTCGGCAAGTTATAAGAGATTCTTGGTTCGAGGGTATTGCACGCTTTACCTTGGTGGCTAACTGTAATGGCTTTTGTGTACATAATACAATATAAATATGTATGTAAATAAAGAATTATTCTTTCGATATGAGTTGCGTTTTATTGAGAAATTCATTGTTTGATTATCTATATAAGCATATTTATGTACATATGTTATTTTTAAGATATGATATATACTAACATTTGCTTTTTGTAGAGGATTCAATATACATATGTATGTATATACATACAAACAATGTTATTGACATAAATCATAAAACCATTTTTCTTCATAAAACCAACACTCGCCATTGATTGCAACAATACTTAAGTGAGTTAATAAGCGTAAGAGTTGTGTCGATGGAGTGTGTATATTTCGTTGCATAAGGGTGAGCCGGAAAAAAATGGCATCACTTATTTTAACAGCAATGCAATGGAAAATTTTCGGAGACTGGATCCCACAGTGTGACACAACAATTGCGTAAAACGGTCAATACATATGTTTTTTTTAGATAATTAAAGAGCTTTCAATTTAAGTCAAGTATTCCTGTGGAGGAGAGACAACAAATAAAAAAGTTCACTTAATCTAATTTCCATGGCAGTAGAAGCACATCGCGATCCACGTGGCTATTGGGGCGGCTTAATATACCTTAGTAATGGAAAAATGTATACCTTAAAGCAAAGAAAAAATTAACGGTAATAATGGCTTTGCCCAATTCGCAAAAAGGGTGATACCACACTCTGCGGTATTTACTATGGAATAAGACTTCTTAATAACGCAAAGGATCTGGGTCTGGTAGTGTATGAGGGCAAGACGAAATATCTGCTGTCATCAAACAAACAGTCATCGTATTCGCGACTCGGCTCCCACGTAACTGTTAACAATCATAACTTTGAGATTGTAGACAATTTCGCCTATCTTGGAACCAGTATTAATACCAACAACAATGCCTGTCTAGAAATCCAGCGCAAAAGCAATCTTGCCAACAGGTGTTACTCTGGGCTGAGTAGGCAATTGAAAGGTAAAGTACTCTCTCGACGAACGAAGAAAAAACTCTCTCAGCCGCCCATCGTTTCCGCGCTGCTATATGGGGAAGAGGCGTGAGCATGTAGTCCGATTGGATAAGAACACTCTAGCTTTGAAAGTTTTCCATGCAGAATCCGCCGGTGGAAGCAGAGAAAGAGGACCCGTATATACTTGGTATTTCCAATGCGTCAAACAAGAAATAAAAGAAATGAATGGCGCACTGTTGTTAACTCGGCTATAATCGACTAAGCGGTGTAGACGCCAGTAAAGAAGATGAAGAAGAAAAAATGTCTGGTAGTAAATAGAACCATCCTAGTATTATTTTGTTTTACAAAATTGATATAGCTTATTCTTGCCTAAGGCTGATGTCGATTAATTTAACAATGTTATTGCGAAAGCCAATATTCACAGCTATAAGTAACAATATATGTACATATGTATATGTATATGTATATTTACACATATATATAGATACGTATGTACAAGCGTACACACATTTTAATATTTAATTATTTAAAGTTTTTTTTCCAGGAACTTGTATAAAGTTCCATATTTTTTTTAGACGACGGTATAACACCTACAGGAAATCACTGGGGACAGATTATTTATTTATGGCAGTGTATTTCATTTTATTAATTTTTTTTCAATTTGGTATTACTAACATGTGTTTTCCCTTCAATTTTTTTTATTTTTTTTTATTTTAATTTATTATTTTTAATTTAATTTTTTTACCATTTTTTACCATTTTTTTTATTTATTAATTTTCACAATTTTAATATGTTGCGTTTTTTCATTTTAGTTTGTCAGTAATAAATATTTAACATTTGCAGTGATAAAAATGTGCTAGGTAAATAAAAAAGGCGATCAAAGGATACGATGTGTGAGGTTTTTGTTGATGGGAAATACGTACACATTTTTTTATATGTTTTTTTTTTTTGCATGTATGTAAATGTTTGTAAGTGTGAGTTCATTCTAAAGCTAAAATACCCTGTTTGTAGTTTTGACGTAAAGCGTCAGCGGATTATAAATTATTTTTAGGTAAAAATAAAAGCGTATTATTTTTTTTTTTTTTTTTTAATTTCTAGCCAATATATTGTATGTATGTATTAGAGGAATCAATGCAATTGATGTCAATATTATGTGATATCTGTGTACGAACAATTTTAAAATAAAAAACATTTTCATAATTTGTTTTTGCGCCCCTGCTATATATTAACTTTTGATGAGTAAACTAAAGGTCTGGTTGTTTGTATGAATTGAATATTTTTTGTATACAACAAAGAAAAACGGTAGAAGTGACAACTGTTTCGGAGACCACCACATCTCCTCATCCGACTTCTTATGGCAGGGATCGAACCAACGGACCTGACTTAACAGGTGAGTGCTCTACCACAGCGCCAACATCAGCCATATAATCTATTGTTGTATTATTCAATTCATTATTAACAACAAACAATTTATATAAAAAAAAAATGTTTTATGGCAAGTGTTAAAAATCAATTGGCCAGAAACGAATTTAAAATATTTTTCATTAAACCATTATTGAATGCATTTAAAATGTTTCTATGATGAATAAAATATTTTTGCCTTTGCCTACAATTATTTAGCGATTAATTAAAAATACAATTTTCTAAATAAGAAACTTGTTTTTGCTTAATTTTATTTGGTTTTCTTATTTATTATTTTTTATTTTGCAAATTAAATCCTTACTTTTTTCATACAAATTAATTTATTGCTACTTTAAATATTTATAAAATAAATTTAGCTATACAACTGGTTTGTAAATCAAACTCTGAGTATGTTTGTATGTGTTTACATATATATGTGTGGATTATTGTATGCAACTTTTGCATAAACAAAGCACAAAACAACAAAAGAAATTTATTTTCCAAAGAATTTAAAATTTTGCTTAAATCTGCAGAAATGTGTAATCAATCGTAAGTGACCAACCTCGTTGTTGCAGCTTTAGCTTTAAAAAAGCACCACCAGTAAATACAAATATACATACAAATGTATTTTATTTATACAGCTTAAATAACACGTTTTCCGTTAGCACTTTACTGCGAATTATTTACTTTTTCTTTAGAGTTGAACTAAAGATTAACTGCTACATCAGCATATTATATATTTATGTATGTACGATGACTCTTAGTATATGGTATATATGTACATACTCGTACATATGTGCATGTTTTGCATTGAATATTTTTACTCCAAAATTAATGAGAATTTCTGTAAAAAAAGAGGAAAAGAAAAAGAAGTTGTTAATTTTAAATAACACCTGTTGGATTGAAAATGATTAACTTATTGTATTCTTATATACTTGAATATATTTATCTGCAATTATTAATATATTTACATATGTACATAGGTATAATTATATGAAATTCTTATTATTTTACATATATACATATATCTTACACTTGTAGAAACACGTTCAACTCAAAATTTGTTAAAAGCAAAAATGATTGCATGTGAAATTATTAGCAAGAAGAAGAGAAATAAGTTTAAATAGAAATCTCCAAGAATCATTGCATTCAATAAAAAAACTCCTCAACAGCGACGTAAAGTTCCAAAGCAAGACAAATTTGGACATACAATTCCTCAAAAGCATCTGCACAAGGAAACAGGTCACAGATAGGAGTGAGTGACCAGCCGTAAAAGGAAACAGAATGCTACCAAAGAACGAAGACGTAACAACAAAGAACAGCAAAAGAGCAACAGAAAAAGACAATCATTTACCAGCATTTATGTATTAAGAAGTGTGTGTGTGTATTTTCCACAAGCAAATCTAACTGGATGTGAATAGTGACAAAACAAAATTGAGATTGAGGTAAGAGTGCAAAGATGTTGGTGTAGAAAAAGACGCTAAAGCAAGAAATTGCTTGTATGTATGTGTGTATACATCTGTAGTAAAGGCGTTGAGGTTGCGGACAATGTTACAGCGGTACAGCAACCACCAAATGATGAACTAAAACAACAACTACAAATACAAATGAGTTAAAGATGCACACAGTGAACTACTTAAGTTCCACAACCAATAAGCCAAAATAAATAAATAAGATAAAATAAAGTTAAATAAACAAGAGCTTCATAAAAAAAGGTATAAATCAATTTAAATACTAAAAAAAAAGTTTATAAAATAAAGCAAAACCATAAAATAAAATAAAATAAAAAAAGATAAATTACAAAAAAAAAATTAAATAAGTAAATTAAAAAAAATTAAATTAAAAAAATTAAATTAAATTAAATTAAATAAAACAAAATAAAATACAGTAAAATGAAATAAATTAAAATCAAGTAAAATAAAATAATATAAAAAAATTAAATAACATTAAATAAAAAATCATAAAATAAAATAAAATAAAACAAAACAAAACAAAACAAAACAAAACAAAACAAAATAAAATAAAATAAAATAATAAGAGAATAAAATAACTTAAACTAAAAAAATAAATATAAATAAAATAAAATAAAATTCAGATATAGTTAAAATAAAATTAAAATAAATTAAATTAAATAAAACAAAATAAAATACAGTAAAATGAAATAAATTAAAATCAAGTAAAATAAAATAATATAAAAAAATTAAATAACATAAAATAAAAAATCATAAAATAAAATAAAATAAAANATAAAATTAAATAAAATAAAACAAAAAAATAAAAGCAAAATATTGGGTGTACGCACTAATTCGTGGGGTTTTCTAAGAGAGGGCTCTACTAATAGTATTTCGCGTCGTGCTCATCTTTAGCATTCCTTTCAAAGATGCTGTCATTTCGCGTCGTTTTTAGTAGATGTCATTTGTTTTAGCGTGAACAACAATTTGTTTCATTAATTTGAAAATGTCGAAATTTGTACCAGAACGAACGTGCCAAAAGTGGTTTGCACGGTTTAAAGGGACAATTTCAACATAATTGACGGACAGCCAAAACAGTTTCAAGACGAGGAATTGGAGACATTGTTCGACGCAGATGCATGCCAGACGCAAGAAGAACTTGAAAAGTATTAGGAGTTGATCAAGCAACCGTTTCCAGACGATTAAAATCACTTTTTTACAATATAATCTTAATTTTCGAAAAAAAAACCGCGCGAATGGATTCATACACCCAATTATATTTAAATTTTAAGCTTCCAATACAACAATTTCTGAATAATTCTTCAAAATATTATAATATTTTTCAAATACTTTTCCAATATATTTTTTGTATGTTTTTAACACTTTTCAATACCAAATTTTCCTAAATATGCTTTGAGCAAATTTTCCTTAAATCTTTTCGAACATATGTACATGTACATATGTATCTGTGATGTGTTCTAAATCAGTTCATGAACTTTAGTTTTCCACAGTAAAGAACAAGAAGCAGCAGCAACCAATCGCAAGCATTTTTTATGGACCCAAAGCAATTCAAAGACACAAGAAGATGCAATCAAGTGGTTCTGTTTTGTGGAAGATTGTCTAAAAAATTGTGTATGTGTGTGAAAGCAAGAAAAATAGTGGTATAAGGAATGGTAGAGAAGATAATAAAACAGAGAGCAGAAACACATAAACAATAAAATGAAAGATATGAAGCAAAAAAAGATAAAAACTGAAAAATAACAGAAAGAATGCGCGGAAGCAAACAAAAAGCGTAAAAATAATGATAAAAGGTGAGCGAGTGTGATTGTTGATGTCTTGTGTGCCTGTTGTTGTTATTGTTGCTGCTCACAATGACAATGCAGTCAGATAAATGCATGTCTGTATATACATACATAAAACATTTATGTGCATGCATTAGCAAAGCAAACGTCCAACTCAGAGCCAAAACATCAAAATCCTCCACGCAGACCAACTACTTGCCAGCTAGCAACAGCAACAACAAAATAATATAAGACAACACTTGGAAAGGCTACATAAGAAGAATGCGCATATATGTATGCACATGCTGTTGTGGCAATGTGGAAGACGGCTATTGAGCAGAGAGGAAAAAAGGAGCAGGAAGAAAAGAGAAGAAGAAGCACACCACGACAAAAGTATAGCATGACGAAGGTAATGCAAAACGGAGATAAACAAGAAAAATATTGAGCAAAGTGAAGTGTAGTTATTTCATTCAATATATGTATGTACATATGTACCTAAATATGTATATACACTTATGTACATACACATACATATGTAAGTATGTATGCATTTAAAAATGTCCTCTTTCATATGAACACTCACTTCTTAAGCTGTGGGTTTCTTCATTAGCTCTTTTGAGCAGCCATGAGTAATGCAAGGAAAATAATATATACAAAAATGAAAAACAACAACAACGCCATACGAAAGTAATGCAGAAAAGAAATACGTCAGACAATAAATCAGCAAAAAGTGAGTATGAGAATAATAAAATAAATCGTTGAAAAATCCGTGACAAAAAATACAACAACAATAATAGTGTGTATATAGCAGAAAAATAAAAAAGAATAAATTAAAAAAAAACTAATAAAAATAAGAAATAAAAGTTAAGCTGAAAACATCCACATGGAGGAGTAACAACAATAAAATATGCGAATACCAACAACAAAAAAAATTGCACAAACATACGAAACTACGGATTAAAATTAAAAAGAAATTTTGAAGTACAAAACAAAACGAAATTAAAACAAGCACCAGTGAACAACTTGCCTCCCATACGTACATACATATGCGAGCGTACACTGTTGTCTTCATTTCGAAAACACGTTTTTTGGCGGCTGGCGCTTTGGTGTTTATTTTTATTGGTTTTTTTTAGCTCATTGTTTGAGTTTTTATTGCACCGATATATTATTATTATTGTTGTTGTTGTTGCTCTTGTTCATTTTTAAATTTGTTCCCAAGTTTTTTGTTTTAAATAATACTTTTGTTGCTGTATTTGTTTTCAAACTGGCCAGCGTGTGCACTCTTTTTTATAACGCCTCCGCCAACACTACCACTTGGATTCAATCCGTTAATTTTTTGGCGTCCTATAAATCTTTTGCGAATTGTGGTGAGCGATGTGTGCAGCTTTCGACTGGTTGCTGATGCCGCTCGTAAAAACAGGTTTGCGCCAAGCTTGCCAATAAGTCATATATGTATGTATGTATGTATACGCCAAGCGAGCGAGGAGTGAGCGAGCTGGTGCTAAGATGTGGGAAGAAAATGTACAGTGTTGGTATCGAGTGTTTTTGGTGATTTAGGAACAGCCATCACGTGGTTTAAAACATAATTTTTTCTTGATTAAATAAATTCAATTTCGTTTAACGTGGATAATGACAAACTTAAACTATGTTTGTAGTATTTTCTTGGAAACAGAAAGGAAGAGATATGTGACTTGTTTCATATTGCGGGCAACTTAAGAGAAGAAGGGTAAGGGTAAGAAAAAGTTAAGCCGGTTTCCTTCAAAATGTAATAACTTTTAGTTCAAGCTTAACTTTTTATGATAAAACTTTGAAAATAAATCTAGGCGAAGGTCCCAAAAGGCTTCATAGCTGCCAATGTGGAAATTTTCTACTTCAATTCTCTTTTATGATTTTCTTTTATCTTTTATTTTGTATTATTATATTTGTTCTTTTAATTAATTTTTTATTTGTCTTTCTTATTATATTTTTTTATACTCCTTTTTTATTAGTATTATTTTATATTATATTTTGTATATTATTTTTTTATGTTAATTTATTTTGTTATTTATTTATTCCCCTTTTATTTTATTTTTTATATTTTTTCATCTCTTATTTAATTTAATTTAATGAAATAAAGCTCCTCGTAAAAACCCATCAGCCCTTCGGAGGCGGCTTAGTGTAAACTGTGGGTCCCCCCATTTGTTGAGAAAACATCAACCGCAAAACCACAAATTGTAGGAGGAGCTCAGCCGAAAATTCAATTTTATTTGATCTTACTTTACTTCATTTCATTTAATTTAACATAATTAAGTTAATATAAATTTAATATAATTTAATTTAGTTCAATTTTATTTTATTTTAGCGTTGACTTTATTTAATTTAATTTAATTTAAATTAATTTATTTTAATTTAGTTTAATTTGATTTGAATTAATTTAATTTACTATATTTAACTTAACATTAATTTGTTATTTTTATTTTATTTTATTTTATTTTATTTTATTTTATTTTATTTTATTTTATTTTATTTTATTTTATTTTATTTTATTTTATTTTATTATATTTTATTTTATTTTTTTTTATTTGAATTTATTTTATTTTATTTTATAATTTTTTATTTTATTTTATAATATT